CGGAGTTCTGCATGGAAGTGTTCGATGGCGGTAAGTGACAACGACAACTCTATTTTAATATTATTTTCGTGATAGAAGCACAGTTTTTAGTCTGATAGAACTATTGATATTTGCTCTTAAGCGAGAGCGCAGAATTTCTCGTGTGTAAAAGCCGAAGTTGTAGCACACTGGAACTTGAAGTAATGTTAACCATCACGCAGCATCTGACTTTAAAATCTCCTTAAATGAGCAATGATGATGATAAACAATCAGATTATAGACTAATGAATGTTTTGTGCCGTACAAAAGCCATATCTGCTGAATTAAGCAAATCTCCAAAGTAATAAACGACTGAAGAAAGAAACGCTTTTATATAAGATTTTATATTCGATTTTTCTCCTACATGCTTCTCTCTGAACGTGCAAATTTTCCATTCCCACAAAAAATGTCGAATGTTGTTCAAATTTTTCACCTTTCTTGATCAATCATCTTGTATAAAGAGCTAAAAAATGTGGGTTTATTTTGTCAAGTGACCGCCTAAAGCAAGAATTGCGTGACAGGTGTAGCTGAGAGACACTTATCGCAGTCGTTGATTTTAAAAAGTATCCAAGAGAAAAATACGGTAGTGCCCAAAGATTTTTTTGATGATTTTCAGAGATGAAATAGTGGGTTATAAAGGGTAATTAAGATTAGTGTTGTAGCTTTCTGGCAACGGGAGATATTTGACCTCAAAGTTGTCAAATATTTGGATGAATCGAAAAGTTTAAAACACATAAGAATTCCTTTATCAATGTGCTCCAGAGGCTCAAGTCAGATCATTCAAATCGTCCTAGTAATGCATAGTTCAGGTACTTTATTGAGCGAAAAACACCGTAAAAAAGGTACCAGTGAGATCTCTGGTGGTCCACTGAAGTTTGAGACACCGTAAAGGGTACCAGATCACTGATTTTGACCCCTGAAAGGTACGACAAGCATCCTCACCCATTTTCGACATAGAAAAAGTATGTCGGACAAAAATATTTACCAAAGAATAAATATTTCTTTTCCAGCTTCAATAATGACAGGGGATTAAGTTCAGATGATAAAACAAAGGATTATGCCATCATAAATACCAGAGGTCAAGTAAATTCGTTACATGAGGTCACACAACTCGGGTAATATTCAGGGTGAAAATTTGAGCGGTCGAACGAAAAAACTCATTTCTCAAAAACTAAAATATATTTTCCCAAAAAAACTACACCACAATTATAAGGACATATTGGGCTACAGTGTGTGAAAGTAGGAGAGAAAACGAATTTGGGCGACTTGCCGCTGTTTGTATGATGCATGTTGGTATTAGCTCTTAAATGTTCTCTTTTGAGCAAATTTTATCCCTGAAAAAAAAAAAAAAAAAAAAAAAAAAAAAAAAAAAAAAAAAAAAAAAAAAAAAAAAAAAAAAACGAAACAAAAAAAAAAAAAAAAAAAAAAAAAAAACATAGGTCCTCTCAATGGAAAAAGAGAAAAAAAAATCTACCAGCCCGGAATAGTCACAGGACTAATTACTATGCAACCATAGGTAGAAGAGCTTCAGTCGTGCAAATTTGTTCGCCTATAACAAAGGTATTTCATAACACCTACAAATCGATTTGAGGCCAGCAGTTAGTCTTTGTTACACATTTAGAGTTAATGGCTTTTAAACCTTATTGCTTAAATCACCTACCTGCAAGGAATTATTTCTGGTGATATTTAGGCTGCTGAGTTTTGAAACAGAATCATTTGCCTAAAATAAAGAAAACAGTAGCTAGGTATATGAACCACAAATTCCATGAAATAAAAAAAGAAATGTTACGATATATAGCTTCTGAATTTCTATCAACCCTGATGAAGAAGACGTTGATGATGGAGTATAAGAGAATGTCGGTGTTGGTGATGATGATGCAGACTTTAGTACTGATGAGGGCGGTGTTGATGATCTTTCTACAGAGATGTTTAATGGTGGGGATGTTATCGACAGTAACGTTAACGATGATACTACTAATGACGATGGTTTTGTTGACAGCATTTCTACTGAAAATGTTGTTGATGACTGAGTTGTTGGTGATAACCTCACTGTGGCTGACACTTGAGAAAGGAGGTGTTGGTGGTAATGCTGCTGCCGTCGATACTGTTGATAACGACCTTGCTACCGATGATACCATCGACAGTTGAGTTGTTGGTAATAATTCTGGTGATGATGATAACGTTTGTGACGTATTTAGTGCACCTCATTCATCTTAGTGACAAGAATACCGTTTCAGTAGGGAAAGAAGTTACTCTTGAGTTATCACCAACTTAAAAAAAGTACCACATCAATTGGTTTCATGACTTTTACTTCATTCCCAAATGGTTTTAATCGTAAGGCAAATCTTTTTCTTTTTTTCGTTTTTTTTATTTAAGGAATCTTTTTATTACTATTTCCTTTTTCAAATTACGCTTTTTAAGAAAAAACAAATACCCACCTATCCTGATAAAATCCATGACAGGGGGAACTACACTATAGGCCGCGACTTTACTTAGTGTTCAGTGTTCAGTGTTCTAGAGAAGTCGACAACTACCGACACCATGCTTCATTTACGAAATGAATGGCACAAAAGGAACTTGCACAAGGACCTGTCTTTACGAATGGATCGGGACCTAACCAATAAGCGTTAAGATACTCTGCTTGGGTCATACAGCCAATGATGTCACGGCAGGTGTTGGACTTGTACTCTGGTGGTGCAGGGTTCAAGTCCTCCACCCCTCTCGGTCGCTCCGAGTAAAATAAATGGTTATTTGATCTGCCTCCTGCCAGTTAGATTATTAAAGTCATTATAAAGTATTATTGGATAGCGATAGAAATAGCGCTATGTAAATACATTATTATTAGTAGTATTACGGCACTGTCACTGTCGCCGTCTGTTTCACTGCCATAGCCACTGCAACAAATTTTGATCTGAAACACCACCAACGCAGTGGTGTTTCATATTGTATTGTAAGTATTGTGTTTGTAATTTAAAAAAAAATATATATATATATTGGTACCTGTGAAAAATAAATAAAAATAAAAAATAAAAAAAAATTTGATCTATATTGCTTCACTGGGGCCGTTGCCTTTCCCGAATAGCATAACTCCTTGATTCTATTTCCAAAACGTTATCATCATGAGCTCATTTCGAACTGGTTATGGCAAAGACTACTTACTGAAAAGCTATTTCAAAGATAAAAGTTGTTCTCTTGTGGCTGCTTCCCTCATGTTTCGACCTGATTAATAAAACCTCTACAGGCAGTTATAAAATGTGGTGGATTTCCATGAACTCTACTTATGAATTGATTTTTGTTTGTTGTGCGAACCAAACCATTTCATTTCGTAAGTTAAGACCCTTACAATCGCCAGTTTGTATTATCAACTGTATAACAGATGCTCTATCTGACTTTTTCCACAGAGTTAAACTCGTGGCAGCTGGCTTTCTATCATGGGGCCTTTCCCGTCCGTGCTTTCCACAGAGCACCTAATTCGGGCTCCAGCTTATGTTACCGATTTAGCTCATCATGATGTTCTCTCATGGAAATATATCCAAAATACAATGGTATCGGGTGTTAATCCGAAAGGAACCGATTTTAGAGGGAAAATTTCCAATTTTGCCTTCACAAGGTATATCTGTATATATCAACTATAGCCTCTATTTAATTTGGTTATTCGGCTAACAGTTTTCCTGGAGCTTTGCTCACGAAAATTGTTTCCATCTTGGAACAGATAATGTCATCGAACAGCTCCCGGTATCCGTACATATTTTCCCTGCTTACTTCGGGATGTTTTTTTTGTTTTCTTTTGGGTATCCTCAGGTACGACTTAATGAACAAAAAAATATTTCCCTTCTTCTACAACAACCAGAAACCCTCTCTCATCTTGAATTAATTTTGAAACGAAAACTTATCGCAGTGGACGTAGACTTTAAAAATTGGGGAATATCGCTTAGATAATATTCTTGAATATCACCCAATTTTAGCTGGGGGATGTTCGGTCACGCGAGCAGAGATATTTGAACGATCATTAATACAAATATATTTCGCTAAGAACAATTTAAACCACACACCGTGATTGAAGAATGCCATTAGCTGTGGGTTACCCTAAGTTACTCGGAGACATTTTTACCAGCCACCTTTCTTGGATGGTGGTAAAGAAAGGTTCTGCTCCACCGTATTTCCCCGGTTAAATAGTATGTACCAATGTCTTAAGGCCTACCTAGTAAGCTTTAACACCAGCTGGATAAGATGTACTAATGACGATGCTGTTCCGATTTTTCAAGCCTTGTCGCCTCCGTAAGCAATAGATGACCTGGAATGCATACAAAAGGAGGCTTTTTCCATCGTTCACGCCGCCTTATCTTATAAGCAAACGTTTCGTGGCAACGCCTGACCTGTAGAGTTCTGCCCACCCCGGTCACATGGTTTCTTAGACGAAACAGCCCCCATTATTTTGTACCCTCCTTGCGCCGTTCTTCCCAACACAACTTTAGCCATGCAATAACTTTTTTGATGTCAAGGAGTGGGAGCCAGGAATAGTTTTATCTCGCATAAATGCATCTGGGTAAACTCTTGTTACAGACAACCGTCAATTTTTTCTCTTTTTAGTAGCATTTTATTTTCCGGTCCAACGATAATAATAACCTAAAGATTTTCAAAGCGTGGTGGAGTCTTGCTCTGTATAATAATGTCTACAAGTCTATCCTAAAATGTAGGTAATTTAGCATCTGGCTACGATTCATATACAAGTAAAGTATCTAGCTTTCACATATTTAGCTAAATAAACGATGTTGAATTGCCGAGTGGTTAACTGTTCTATTCACTCAGACCTAATCCTCTAACTTACTTCAGTTTAAGACTGCGATAAGCCAGATCACTTAATTACTCTGATAAATAAACATCACCAGCCTCTACCTCTTCATGAAAGACTTATTTTCTTTTTTTTCTAATTTACAAAAACAATCCAACCAAGCAGAAGGACATTGGAAACTAATCAGTTGCGACTGGAGAATTATCGTGGCCTAAAAAATCGTAGTACATAACAATCGGCTTTTACCCGCCGCCTATTGAATCCATTACTTAATGATATTCCTATTTCAACTCATATTCGCTGAATGGGTGCAATTTAGCTGCCCACACTGCACTGCCATCAGTTGGATTCATCTTTACATTCTTTTTGGTTGAGTTTCTGTTGTTCGGAGATGGGGAAACAGCGTTCGTTCGAATTTTCATTCGAGCTCCAATCTGACCAATCCTCACTGTTTTAATTTTGCCTCGCAATCGCTCCCTTATCTGTTAATAAACATAAGGTAACATGAATCAGTTGCTGAGTTCTAAAATCTGGTTATTCAAGTAGGCCACATTCTGTCATGATTTGCACAATGTTACGATAATTTTTTTTAGTTTCGATCTTACCTGACTGTTTCTCATGCAGTGCAGGATGAAAATCAGGACACCCTACAATACAAATATAATTATGGATAATAAGTCTTTTTTTTTGTTTGAAATATACTATCATAACAAGTAAAGAGATCTTTGCGAAACAGGGTAGTTATTAACTCAGCTGAACTTAACTTGTAAGTTTATGAAGGGAGAAAAACAGACGGTTGAGGGATTGATTGACCGATGAAATTATTCATTGGCTAAACGGCTATCAAAATGATCAAAAAACTGAAGGAATGACAAATAGATGGATAGGAGGAAGGACTGACTAGAGACTGACGGTCTTTTTACCACATTGATTGACTGATAGAAGGATTTTTTTAATTTGTTTAGAGGCTTCAAGCTCTAACTTTTATTAGCAAGGCTATCTTAATTTTACCAAGGAAATTTACAGCAAACCTGAGTAGAGTTGAGAATGGTGAAGATGTAGGTGAAAGCCTTGTGTAGAGGCGAGAGAAGACCAAACAACCACGTGATGCCAAGAAGAGGAATCATTAGAACACATGCTCTGATGCCAAGTCTACAAGAGGACAAATGTTAATTATTTCCAGTTTTCAACTAACTTTACCTGTTATCGTCATAAAAAAAAAATTTAAAATCATGCACATAGTACTCTCGGACGCTCGGACGTACAGCAGGCACACCCTTACCCCAACTTTGGTACGAGATTGCGGGGTGGGGGGAGGGGGGTTATTTGGAACCCTGAATTCTTTTTTACGCTATTTTGGAAAGTTTTAACTTAGTATCTAGATAGCCTGTCAGGTTTTTTACAAGATGATGTTAAAATTATGGGATACATATGCAAATATCGCTGCAAATGTTGCCGCGACCCATTTAACATGGTGCACGTTTTTAGATTTCTCACTTATCCCCTTCAATTTTTGGCTTGCCCATCATTATCAAACATGGCAGGAGAATGGAAAATAAGACTCAATCGGAAAATAAATATTGAGTTTACTAAACTCTCCTTCTTCAACTTAAAAGCTTAGAGTCTCCCGTGGCTAATATCAACCCTTAAACTACACCTCGCTTGCCATTTAATGTCTCGTATATCTATATGCCAATTTTCATCAAGTAAAGAGAAGATGTCTGTAGGATAAGTTAACAGCTACTGAAGAGGACAGTTGCCCGATTAAAATCTTTTTGGTAAAATTAACATAAAAAAGAAACGATATAACACTCCATCTAACCGAACTCGCTGAATCCTGTCGGCTCCTGTTTGCGGCAATGTGGTCAACTCCCTTGTGACACGTGCGAGTATAAAACTGCCAAGCTAAAAAAATCAAAGCAAAAAAAAAAAAAAAAAAAAAAAAAAAAAAAAATAAATATGGATAAAAGAATGGAAAAAAACGACAACGAAGCACTGTGCATGTGCTATAGGTCAAGTATCTTATGATAAAGTTAGAGTTTTGATATTGAATCGCAAAATCTGAGTTTAAGCTTACAACTCCAGTTGCCGTCAGAAATGCAACAAATATCCAGATCAAGTCATAATTTGACGACAACCAACAACTGAAAAAGAAGAAAAGAGGAAAGACAAAGCTAAGGTAATTAGAAACTAACAAAAAGCGTCAAATCAAATCAAATGAAAATCAAATCACAGCTTATAATTGAGAACAACTAATATGGTATTTGAGGGCTGAAAAGGAGTGCAAGAGAAATAACGAAAGAGGAAATGAACAAGTTCGCAGAAAAAACAAAAAGACAGGTTTCAGCAAAACGAAAAACAAATATACGTGATTAAAAAATAAAAAAATAAAAAATAAAAAACCCAAGTCAGAGATAAACCAAAACATGGAGAGGAAGCAAAACAGGAGATAAAATTGACGTAAACTTTGTTTCTTACTATTTATCGCTGGTGTAGCTTTGAATCCCTCCTTTTCCAATTGCGATGCTGAGAGAAGTGCTGACCATAATGACGGGGAAACCTTCACACACAAAGAGAAGGGGGAGATCAAAGTTCGCGGGAAATCATATCAGGAATAAACTGATTCAAAATACGGTAAATCAGCATTAAAAATGAGAAAAGTCATTCTAGATAAAAGGACAATACCCCATGACATGACGTGATACACTATCAACCTATTGCTGATGTTGTAAACTTTCACAATTAATAAGTAAAAGTAGATTCCTTCCACTAGCATCCAGCAGAAAGCAGCCATCAGGAAATACTGAGTAAGAACTGCTGCTGTGATGCAAATGGCCTGCAAAAAAAGGAAAAAACGATTTTCCTGTTCTTTTCTTTTCTCGTTCTTCATAAATTTTAAAAATTCAAAATAATTTCATTTAATAAATTTCAAATTCGCAATAGATACCAAAATATTTTTAAAAAGGTCCTGATAATGTTGATGGTGAGGCCAGTAAAAAGATTAATTGATGTGAATGTGAGTAGAAAGCACTTACTGGGTTATCCATGGCGTGCATTCCAGCGAAAAAGCTTATTTGACCAGCACCCAGCGATGCGGCGAGACTCAGTCGTATTTGAGTGAGAGGTTCATGAACATCTCTAATTTAAGAAAAAAATATACCACGGTTATTTCTATATATTTCTTTGATAGTTTCAACCAATCAAAGGCATAAGAAACTTGATATTGATTACTCACGCGAACAAGGAATACATGATTATAGTTAGAATCATTCCAATGATGGAAAGGCTTAATCCTAGGTAAGTGATAATCTCCAGGATATCTTCGTCCTTCTGGGACAGCTGTGTAACAAATCAGAAACTGAGGGAATAACATCATTATCAATTTAATGAACATACGAGCAATGCTTAAAAAAAATATTGAAAAACGTAGTACCACACTGTCACTTTTGTAGTTAACTAAGACAGCAAAATGAGTCAAATGATTGCAGCTGCAGACTGTTTCTTCTGAGTTGCTTTGGGATGTAACTACACGACATCCATCTTTCGAAAATCCATCTTGACTGAAAAATATAACGAGATAATTAAACCGTTAAATACTTAACGTAACAGGCAGTTAATATGATGAAATCTTAAATGGCTTTCATTCTACTTACTGGGATTGTTCACTTAAGCCGGTTGGATATCGAAGACTGGATTCAGAGTTGGTAAGTTATTTGTTGGTTATTTGTGCCTTTTTAACGTCACGCTTGCCTTTTGGCTTTGATGGATTTTCAGTTCATCACTCCGAAACAAGAGTAAGTTGGGGTGATAACCGGTGTAAGAAATCGAGGTAAACTCTCAAAGTACAGTTTCTTCATTAGTATCTTGTAAAAACTTAACGATAAGACTTCTGCTCTTGTTGAGGAAACGTTCTTTAATATCAACAACCACAGATCGCACTTCCTTTCAAGACCATTCCCACCAGTTGGACCGTTACGCGAACTTGTCGAAATTCGATCAATTCAGAAAAAAGGATGGAAAAATGGTGTATTTTGTGTAATGTTATTGTTTATGATGGTGATGTCAGTTGTTTTCTCGTTTTACCTATTGCTGAGGTCACTCCAGAACATGCAATGCTTCTCACTTAGGTCATTCTGAAAGAAGATTCAAGTTAAATCTATTTCAAATGATGCATCAACTTAGCCTGAACTTATTCAAACTGAAACTGATCTAAACTGAACCGAATGAATTTCATTTTGCTTTCGTTATTACCTTCAGGTTCTTGAACTTCAAGATTACATTTTCTTGTAACGTTTTTGGTTTGGGATCCATAGCAGCCATCATAATCCTAGTTACCACATGCCTAAACAAGTAAGGAAAATACTTCATATGTGACCCTCCAGATGATTTAAGGGACAACGGTGATAGCACGCTCTCAACACGCTTCCACTTGAAAACAAAAGAAACTGGCTATAACACGCTTGCTTAGCACGCTAGAGCACTCTTTAATAAGCTTATGCATGCTATTGTTTCATATAACAAACTACAAACAATCGAGCGTGCGCCGTTGAGCAATGAAGCGTGTCAACCATCGGCAAAACGACCGCAAAGTGTGTCAGCCATCGAATAACGTAAAGCTGGAGTAATAATTAGCGTGAATGATCGGACACAAAACGCAAGCAATGTTTTGTAACCTATTGCATGAAACAGCACACAAACAAGTTTTAAGTATTTAACTAACGCAAAGCATGGAGCAAAAAAAAAAAAGAGCCATGAACGGTCAAAAAGTTAAATTTATAACATAGAGCCATGAACGGTCAAAAAGTTCTTGTGAAAGTGTACTGCATCGGATGACCAAGGCGATTTTAAGGGGGAGGGTAAACCAAAAAAATATTATTTTCGACTGACTCTTTGTTTCTGATAGCGTTAAGGAATTCAAGCGAATGGCAGCCAGTCACATCCCGTAAAATGAATTCAATTAAATTAACGCAGTAAAGAAATAAACTTTTTCAACAGCAATGAATCGAAAACAAAAAAAAAAAAAATAAAAAAAAAGAACCTCGAAGAGTTCAGGATGAAAAAGAAAATTCGGAAAGGGAAGTTTTCATTGAATTTGAAAGCGTAGTGAAAGACGTGGTAAGAATATTGTCTCGAATATCTTTGAAAAACATCTGTTAGCACATTCCTGCTTCTGAAGTACTGCAATGGAGCAAAATATAAGAAATATCTAATCTGACGTTCGGAAATCCGACCAATTCGAACAGGAATAGTTCGATTGCGAAACTCAGTCGAACATAATCGAACTCGTAATAAAGTTTTGTCAATCGATCATTCGATTGTCGAGCACCTGTTTGCTGATTGTTTTACGGGGGAGGGTAAACAAAACCAAAAGTGAGAAATAATGTTATTTTTTGGCTGTCTCTTTCTTCAAGAGTGCTACGAAACTTCGAACGAATGGCAGTCATACGCTTAGTCACGCGCTCAGCACGTGCCTTGAACTCAATTCAAACAACGCAGGAAACAAATAAACGCGTTTCAACAGCAATGAATTTAAAAAAAGAAAAAAAAAGAAGAATTCAAGAATTAAAGTTTTTCAACATCAATGAATCGAAAATAAAACAAAACAAAACAAAAAAAAGAACCTCGAAGAATTCAGGATGAAAAAAAAAAAAATCGGAAAGGGAAGTTTTCATTGAACTTGAGAGCGCAATGAGATGCATGAAAGAATATTGTCTCGAATATCTTTGAGAAACATCTGTTAGCACATTGCGTCCTTTCAAGTACTACAATGGATCAAAATACAAGAGATATCTAATCGAACGCTCGGAAATCCGACCAATTCGAACAGCATGCAATAGTTCGATTGCCAAGTTCAGTCGAACATAATCGAACTCACTATGAAGTTTTATCAATCGATCATTCGATTGCTGGACACCTGTTTGCTGATTATGAAAGAGATGCCTGTTCGAACAAAATCGACCAAAAACTAATAAGAAAATTTTGCTCCCCTTTAATTAATTTGAGAAGAGTAATCTTACTCTCTCGCTCGCAAAAAAATCGTAAACATACAACATTCCGTCCCATAATATGAATCAACGATGTCAAGAGTGAGTCGAATTATAAGTTACTCGACAGCGTTTTTAGTCTCTTAATTACGGTCCTTCTTTTGCCCTCTTTAGAATTTATTTCACACGCATGGCCTCCCATTGTGATTCAAAAGACGGCGAAGCAAACTTTCGGCGAAGCGCCAATGACAGGTAACGTGCTTTACTCTCATCAAGTTTGTCGTAGCCAAACGTGTCACTCGTGTTCCCGTTGGCCAGCTCAGCTTCAATGAAAAGCACATCAAGGCACGCCAATGCAAGTATATTAATTAAAATGGAAATAAACAGCGGTCATGTTTTTGGTTCACTGCGTGAGCAATGACCGGCTAATAGCTTTAATTTACTAAAGTGACCATAAAAGTTATTTTTTGGGATGCATTAAATATTACGCCGGCTTAAATTTGAGAAGTTCATACTGGGAGCCTGACATTTTGATTAGATCATCACGCCCATTATGGTTCTTTTAACGAAACGAACTTGCGAGTCTGACATTTAGGTGATTAAGCAATGAGACTGATAGTTTTCTTTACCTCGTACACTTTCGTTTGTTTATTTCAACGCGACAGAAAAAAAAAATCGTAAAGGTAAATATACAATAATAATGGGGTCTACTTACCGTTTCACGTTTCTACTATTTCAATTTTCCATTTATGGGTTATTTTATGAAGATGGACGGAGTGGTGCACGATTGGAAAATAAATATTTAAAAAAGTTTTTTCTTCGAAACTATTTCTACAGTGCATAAAAACTATCTTCTTACTAGCAGCTAATGTCAGATATCCAAGCCGTTCGCGTACCTTGTTTTATCATGACCTTTTTGGATTAAATCATGTAGATCCTTGTACACACACCCAACTACTACTGATCCTAAAAGAGAGCAGAACAAAATTCCACGTAGCTTAAATATCGGCAAATTTAAGTTTCAAATGATTGCACTCTCTTGAAGATGCTATACAGATACGAGTTAATAAAAAATTACTTTGATGATTCTTTAATATGACACTAAAGACTCAAATAATTAACGGGTATGAATGTAAAAAGATAACGGCAATGTATACAAACCATTGTTGGCAAAATTCCCAGAGGAAATATTGATAGATGCCTGCCATTCGTGTTTTTCCAGATAGAAGTTATTTGCATTTTGTCTATTACCTTTTTGAATATCAAGGACTTTCGAAAGAAAAGGAAAAAAAAGTTATATTAATATAAGTGAAGGTCAGATTTATGAAATTAACAAACAAAATTAATGCATTCTTTTTTTCTGTCAAGGAATCAGTTAGTCATTCATTCTCCCAGAGTGTCAGAGAGACAGTCAGTCACTGTCAGCCAGTCAGTCAATAAGTCAACTAGTCAGTTACTCAGTCACTCACTCTCTTGATTAGTCAGACAGCTACTGAATAGATGATCGATTATCACAAATCTGAAAAGACAGCCATGTAAATACTCACTTATGTTGTCGCCAACCATCGTTTTTGAACTCTTTGTTCCACTTAGATGGTACTTGCCATAGCTAAGAACAACTTTCTCGAAGGCGACTGCCACCTTAAAAATAGACTCCGTTCTGAGTTCATCTACTCCAGACTGTTCTTTTCCGTGGGTCGTTTTCCGATATTTAGTGGTGAAGTTTTCAAAAACATTTGCAGCTTCCTGTAAGTCCATGAAGTACATATTATTTAGTTTTTTTTTTACCTTTTCCAAGATTCATCATAATGAGATGTAAATCAACTCCCTGTGATAATGGGTAAATGCAGTTTCAAGAGGCACTTTCAGTTTAAAAGCAACAACTATCGCATAAATGATACCGCAGAAGATTTTCTCATTTTGGGAAAATCTATATGGGACTTTGTCATAGAATATGTTTTTCAATTGTTCCTCTGAGAGTAAGGCTTTTATCATTTAGATAAGGGAAGGAAAAGGTAACTTACAAAAACGTTTCGAGCACTAATCACTCTACAACTAAAGGTAGAAGATATTTAATCTTTGCATGGAAATTTTTGCGCTTACGTATTATATTTTATACCACCTTCATATCGATTCGAAGCTTGCAGCTGTTCTTTCGCTACACTTTTAGATTAAAAAGATGGCGTTCTATATCACTGATGAAACCACATACCTGTAAGGAATTGTTGCTGGTGATATTTAGGCTATCGAGCTCTGAAACAGCATCATTTGCCTGAGACCGAAAAA